AGTGAATAGAAGAATGTTGATGAGTGTTCCTTGGCTATGGAATCTCCTAACAGCTGACCAACTCACAGCGTTCGTTTCGAAATGAGCGAAAGATGTGAACAGAAGTATTTTTAAGGGCGTACCGTTGCCATCTGATACTCCGTTAGTGACAAAGTCGCAACATTTGCTTCATAGTGATTCAAAGAGATGAATAGAATTGTTATGAGTAATGTTTCTTTGCATATGGTCTTTGGACTACTGACTGAGCATCAAGTTCTGCTTTGAAATGAGCCAAAGAGGTGAGCACAAGTCTCGTGAGAAATGTGCCTTTGCCATGTGATCTTGGATGAGCTGACTAATTCGCAACGTTCTCTCCAAAATGAGCTAAAGATGAAAACAGAAGTTTGATTGTGAATGTTCCATTATGACAGGATCGCCTACCAACTGATACTCTCTAAAAAAAAACAGTATTCTCGGAAACCAAGGGAGAAAGGTTTCCGAGTGTTCGGAAACCCATTTCTTGCCCTCGAGAACCCTTTCATCGGTTTCCGAAAGCTCGAAAACCCATTTTTTATCCTCGGAAACCCTTAAAACGTTTCCGATAGTAACAAACTCGTAAACCGAAAAGAGTTTCCGAGCCTCGGATACCCTTTCATGCGTTTCCGAACTTCGGAAACCTTTTTCGGTTTACGAGTTTGTTACTATNTTTTATTGTTTGTGGGGGGGCGGGGGGGGGCGGGGGGGGGGGTGGGGGGGGGGGGGGGGGGGGTGTAGTGGGTTTTGAAATGGTGTAAAAAATTTTTGGGGGGTGTAAAAGGGTATTTAGAGCAAAATTTCTTAAAAAAAACACAAAATTCGTTCCAAATCTGCTCCCGTCGCTGAAAAAAAAACAAAAATTTTCAATTATTGGGAGGTGTACACTCTCCCCACCTCCCCCCTCTCGCGCGGCTCCTGATTGTCCTCACCTTTCTAATCTTACGTTGATGTCCTTACCCTATTGCTCTTCCATATCTATTCTCTCATTGGTCTCATCTCTTTCTTTTCATCCTCTCTTCTACCTGTGTATATAAACGTGTGCTTTATGTGTAACGATATGAGTGGTGATATGAAGAAGCGAACCAAAGCGTAACTCTATCAATGCTAGCAACTCTTCTATCTAAAATCATCACACTGATGGCAAGTGCAACAATATTGATCTGTTTATTTGTTAAATCAGTCGCACAGAAAAAATATAGAGAGCTGTAGTATTGAAAAGTAAATCATTTCGAACAAATCTCTGGAAAACTCCATTTCCCCACATGTGTAACTCAAAGTGTATGAGTCACTTTTCAGTCCGCTGTAGAGAACGTGAGTTATGACTCCTTGATACCTTGCTAATTTTTCGAATGTCAATTTAAACAAAAAAAAATACAATAGAGTATCACTTTTGGTAATCTTTTAGATCCTAGATGAATGATGTTTTTGTTAACAGATTATAACTTTATATATGCACTTGGTTTATAGTGTTGAGTTGATAATTTCCATGCTACAATTTAACTATAAAAAAAAATATTAAATTTAATTTACAACCGAACGAAGTACTTCTTATGAGAGGACACTTTCTGTAAACTTGTTTTTTAAATTGAAAACTTTTTTGCTTGCGTAGCTTCCATAATTTTTGCCATAGTGATCGTTTTTCATTTGCAGAATGGCAAACTTGTATCAAAGTTGACATCAATTTGTGTCATTTAATTTTCTTCTACTTTCTTTTCAATATCTACTTGTTGTGACTGATCTTATTATCTTATTCAATATATTTCAACATTCTCTCTAATAGTGAAATGCAATAATATTGATCACGTGTGCTTGATGTTGTCGAACAGAAAAAAGAACTCAATCAATAACAGTTGTTAGGTTTTTTTGTTGAAGAGAAACTAAAATCTTCATATGAAGATATACATGATATTCCTCTATCGACAAGAATATTCAATCAACAAGTAAGCACTGATAATGCTATGAAGAACACTATCGTCGTTATACATACCCATCCTAAAACAAACTATCATCAACTATAGTACAAAATCGTTTGTCAACTCATCATTCAATACTTGTTGATCGTAAAAGTTATAAATTTCCATCATCATTAGTATCGATAGCAACATCAACGAATCAACATTGTCAACAAAATTTCGTAAATGTAGTGTGTATATGCCTCGACTTGACTTATATTCAGGGCTGCCAAATCCAAATGTAAAAGACCAGGAGTGTCTCAGTAAAAAGCCAGTAGTTGACCAGAAGATTTTACCGAAAAACCAGGAGGGAAAGCAGTAGATCTTTATGAAACTAAAGTAACTATTTGACTGACTTGTTTCTAAAGAAGCTGAAGTTTTTGTTCAGATATCTATCTTTTTCTTTCTACTGTTAAGTTAGTGATGACGAGACTACCCTCTAAGTGATATATAACGAAGAGAAAGAAAGATAACTTATGCATTTACCCAAAAATGAACAAGCTAACGGATTCGATAAACATTCTTTTTTAATGTTTACAAATAATATTTAGTTACTTTCATGTATGTCCCTGAAGCAGTTTTCGATATAAACTTTTTCCAGTGAAAACGAATCACTATTTTTACCTGATGTGGTAAAGTTTGTGACAAAAAGTTTCCTCCAATAAATCTCAGACTTCGGTGTTCTCATCTTCTTGCAACGTATGTATTCGGTAAATATACAGTCGGTTCTTTCTTTTTATTCACAGTTACGCAAGTCTTTGCCATAGGATTTGTTTATGAAATTGATCATCTTAATCTGGTAGAACTCAAATAGAAAGAACGTGTTTTCTTATTGGTTGTTATATCTATGAAATAGTGTGATAGTTGTACTTTTTTGTTTTATTGATTCAATATTTCACGAAAGCTCAGAATAATGAAACCATTAAAAACCAGAAGAAACCAGGAGAGAATTTAGAAAACCATCTTCTGTTTCCAGGGGATTTTTTCACCAGGAGAAAAGTCTAAAAGCCAGGAGGCTCCTGGATAAATCAGGAGATTTGGCAACTCTGCTTATATTGCATGTGTTAAAAATCGTAATCATCCATACTGGATTCAAATGAAAAATTAATTTGCTTTGTAATATAATTATATAAGTATAAATGAAAAATAAAAAACACATAATGAAATTTTATTTGAACATTGAAGTAAATTGGGTATTAGTAAAATACGCTCTAATCCACTCTAAACGATTCTCATCCAAATCTCAAAAAGAAGCTAATTTTCAACAAGAAAAATTTATTAAAGTCACTCTTCGATACATCTAAGCCTATTCAACTTGTGAGTATGTTCTTCGGTGTTTTTCAATGAATTCTTCGTTCTCTTTTCTTGGAACTATCTTTCCATATATATGATTGGAGAAATAAATGTTATACATGCGCTACACAGTGAGTCATTTTTCCTTTATTGTTGTTTTCTTTTTCTATCTTTTTTAATTTGCGCTGTACCCAGGTGAAAAAAATCATACACAGATCGTATAAGGCCTAACAGGATCTTACTGTAAGATTCTTGCAAAATCTGATGATCGAAATCTTGTAAGATCTTATATGATCTTATAAGATCATAGTTTTAGGGTGTGGATATGTACGAAGAGAAGACTTACACGCTATTTTAGATTTAAACTTTTGAGAACTAATTTCTAGAAATAGTAAATTTTTGTAAATTAAAATTTAACAACCCAATCGTCAAAGCACATGGCGTCTAGAAAAATATATCAGAAATAAGAAGAGAAACTGCTACTATACGTTGACATCCGATCATCACAATAGAAGATTCCGTAAAAAAGCGGCCGCGCTTCGCTCCTGTTATTTACTAATGATAATAAAAACTTGTATAGATACTTTTTCTAGTAGACCTAGGAGACAAAAGATTTCTCTTGATTTCTACAGACAACTATACAAAGTGAAACTTAAATTAATAAAAATGGAGCCGAAAATGCTTCAAATATATTTCGATGTAGTTTTAATTATTTTAAGTTTATTGAATCTTTTTTTTTAATTTTATATAAATTCGATTGAAATTTAAAATAATATGTAATCTTTTACAATTTACTTCTTGACTTCATAAATTTTTGTAAATATAAATTAATCATCCACAACCCTGTTGTGAAATTTTCTATCAAAGATCGTTGGATAATCGCATCAGTGTTTCCATAATGGCAAATGTACCAAGCAGAAACAAAATGTGCGGAGCATCTGCTACTTTTGATTTACACTCTGTTGTACACTTGTCCAGAAAAACAAAGTGTACAATGTACACTTATTGCTAAAATAGTTTACACTTTGATTTCTTTTATTTTTGAACCTTAAAAGCCGCATATAGTTTTAAATTAATTAAAGATAACGTTTATTTGTTTGCCAGAGATCAAAATATTTATCTTATGGAAGAAAAAAATGACGAACATTATTTTTTGTTTTTCAGATTGTGAAAATTTGGCTTTCGTACACTTTGATACATTTTTCCGAAAAAAACAAAGTATAAAATACACTTTGCTAATAAAATACAGAGTGTACAGTACATTTTGCTTTAAATTTTCATTGAAAACACTGAATTGCATACAGCATCACAATTCTACAAAAAAAGATTATAGCTCAGTTAATCATTTTTTCTTATTTACTTGTCCATATTTAGTAGCTTTTCAAAAATTAGTTAGGTTTGGTTCAGTTTAACATCACTTTTTAAGAAGTGGTTCGAGTGCCGCTCGGTTCGATTCTTTTTTAAGAAAGAGCTATTCGGATTCGGTTCAGTTTGAGTGAATTTTAAAAGAACCGGTTCGAGATCGATTCGGTCTCTGACACCCACACTCAAGTATCTATTTAATTTAAGTTATATTTTATTTTATTTTTGATAATATCATCGACCACTTCGAACAACATAAATATTTATTTAATTCGAAGTGTCTATTTATTTTTATTTTAGATAATATCGACGATTAGACGAAGTAAAGTAAGCAATTATTTAATTGAAATGGTTTTGTTTTTATTTTAGATGACATCAATGCTTTATCCACATAAAGTGAGTATGTATTTTAACTTTAGATAAGATCGACGATTAGACGAAACAAAGTAAATGTTTATTTAATAAACAATTAAATTTAACTTTAATTATTTATTTTATTTGATGCTTTCAGTGGATTTAAGGTAAAAGAGCCCTTAAAGATGAAAGTCATATAAAGAGAAAAAGGAGAAAATGAGTTATGCACCTTTGTATGCAACTCTGGAGAATCATACATGGATCTTATAAGATCGTATAAGATCCAACAGCAAGATCATATAGAATCGTACAGGACGATTTTATTAGGCAAGTTGGCTTTGACCCAGGTCACAAAAGTAGACGTCAGATCTTACAGACCCAGATGAAATCGTTTGAAAATCGTACAAAAAAACGCAGTCTCAGAAATCTTACAGCATAACGTACTATAAAATTCTAGAAAGATCTTACCACCGCATGAAACTTTCTACAATCTTAGAGTGATATCGTACACCCAGCAAGATTTTTCAAGAATCTTAAACTACGATGTTACGTAAGATTTCTGAGACTGCGTTTTTTTATGGTTTTCATCGGATTTTATAAGATCATAGAAGATCAGAGTTATGATCTGATAAGATCTTACGCTCTGATTGCTCGACCTGGGTTCTATGATCATGGAAGATCAGACGTACGCTCTTATATGATCTTGTAAGAATCGTATAAGATCACAATAGGATTGTTTCACCTGGGTATTCTCTTGAAGACAAAAAGTGTCTTGTTAGTAAAAGAGTATAAATCAGAATGTATCTTTGTTGCGCATCACTATCCGATTGTTATCATTTAATAGATGTGACAACACTTTTTTTTTCTCTGAACAATCATCATCATTATTTTAAATGAAAAATCAAATAAAGAATCAATGAAAATTATTCAATTAATTAATCGAACTGTTTCAAGAACACACCATTTTTCTGAATTAAGTTATAAACACCATTTACCATTAGATGAAACAACTTATGTTGCATAATCTTAATGTTTTAAATGAAAATGAATCTGTACTTTTATTAACTGGTAATCTATTTTCATTATGGATATTTAAATTAGGTGAAAATCAAGCAAAAAAAAGATATATATTCTATATTTACTGATAACATAAATCGATTTACTACACCAAATTATCAAGTGAATATTTATATATATATGTTATGACCGAAGTTAGAATTCAGCCCAATTCAGAATTCGTCTAGAAGAAATTGTAATTGTGATTTTGACTAGGCGAAATTGGAATATTATTTCAATGAATAATAGAACTTGAAGGAATATCAACAATTAGAACACGAGAGGATCACGAACGACAGTAAGGGTGAGAGAGAAGTCTTGGTAATGGTGAGGGGTCTGGGTGAATATATGAGCGAGATTTCGGTTTTGCGGGATTTTTCACTCTTCTTTCACCCTGTTATCTCATCCTCACCCAGATCCCCGCCCCCCTCCCGTTACCGTTGCAGAGACTTCCCCTCACCCTCATCATCGTTCATGACTTCCTTGTGATCTAATTGTTGGTATTTCTTTAAGTTCTGTGATTTATTAAAATAATATTCCGATTTCTTCTAGTCGAAATTAGAATTCTAATTTCGTCTGGACGAATTCTGAATTGGGCTGAATTCTAACTTCGGTCATCATATATATATATATATCAGATCATGTTTATTCTATCACTTACATTTATCCTTTTTACTTTAGCTAAATGTGATCCTTGGAAATGAAAAACAAGTGGTTGTTGGTGATTTAACAAGTCAATCATGGACATTAGTTAATCTAGATAATGGTCAAAATTCTTTTATTCAACCAACTATTTCATCATCTTCTCCATTAACACAAATAATAACTCGTCAATTTAATGAAATGCTTTCTCAACAAAATACATCTGCATCACGATCCGTATATCATTCAACGAATGGTCAACTTCTTCAATATATTCTTAATCATAATTCAATTCGTATTGTTGATTTTATTAAAAATGTATCTCAACAAAGTAAACTTCCATTTTCTGTTGGTTATGTTATTCCATTTAGTGATCAATCTATACTTACTGATTATGTTCAACAATCTTCATCTTCATATCTTTTCAATATAATAATGAACAAAAACCAAATGTACCACTGATTCAACATAATCTTAATACAAATGGTTCAGTTAGTAGTGGTGGATATTTTAATTATAATTCATTATGGTGTTCAAGTTCCAATGATTATTTAACAAAAATAATTTCAAATACAAATAATCATTTTGTTGTTGAAAGATTTAAAAATTTAAAAGAACAAAAACCATCTTATCTGATGATGTACTACGACAAGAAATGTATGAAAAACGACGATTACAAACATTTATTAATAAACAATATTCATTAATTGCTTCATTTTATACTAAAAATGAAATTGATAACAAATTTACGTATGCACAATGATTATTTTTCTTGAAATATTTCATTACAATTTGTTTTTTCAGAATAAAAAATGATACTCCTGATTCATCAATTCTTAATTAACGGGTGGTCCAGAATATATGGCCGCCCTTTGCGTTTCATTTTTGTATCTCTAAACATGTTGTATTAAAAAAGAAAATACCACAAGATACAGCATGGAAAGCTCTACAATTTACATAGGACCGTTTATTTTATAGTTGTACGTTTTGTTTTCAAAATGGACAACATTTTTTGAGCGACCCAATTTCGACGGTGCGAAAAGAAAAACTTTTTTAATACAGGACGAATTCATTTTTTGTGTTTTCATCCTTTCATCCCCTGATATTTTTTCAAAAAAAGCAAAATTCTATGCGACCAATTTTCGCACGATCGAAATTTTCAAACTCAAAATTTTGCTCATTTTGAAAACAAAAAGTACAACTATTAAATAATCAGTCTTATGTAAATTGCAGAGCTTTTTACGCTGCATCTTGCGGTATCTTTTGATGTTTTGTTTTTTTAATAAAACGTATTTAGAGATAAAAAAGCGAAACGCAAAGTGCGGCATTTATTCTGGCCCACCCGTTATATTGAATTAATCGATATAAAAAAAAATCATTTAATAACTTACATTCCAACTCAACGTTCACAGCGACAAAATTCTCGTTGATCAACATCTCAGTATGAGCAGCGTATGTTAATTAAATCTGGTTCAGGTGTTATTGCTACTCATGCTGATATTCACCATTGGAAAATCATACCAAGTCATTTACAAATATCATTAGATGCTTGGCATAGACATACAAGTCCATCAGAACAACATAGTCTTGATATTGAATATTTAAAAGGTAGAAAAACTGATTTTAGTGGCTCTAAACATGGAAAAGTTGATCCAGAAAATAATCCACATGTCGGTAGAAATCAATCGGCTGATGGTGGCGGTCGAGAAATTGCAGGTATGTTTAATGACATGTTTCTTTTATCTTAGATTTTTTCTTTATTGTTTAGGCCATGGTAGTATTGGAGGACCATATCGTCTAGATAGTGGTCATCAAGTTTATTAAGTTTCTGATGCTGTAAAAGTAGCAGTACCTGAACATATTCGAAAAGCAGCAAGAGAATTAGGTCAAAAGGTTTTTAAACAACGTTTAAAAATAAATGGAAATGTCTGAGCACGAACATAAAGTTTATGAAAAATATTTAAATAAAATTTCAAGTGAAATTAAAATGCTTCGTTCCACAGAATTCAAAATGTCATGCTCTTTTCTATGATATGAGCAGTAAACTTTTAAGATGTAAAACGATGGTGATAATGTGCACTTATGTGACGTGCGTTCGCTTTCGGAACACTGACGACTATAGGTACTAATAGCAAGTTACTTAATAAATACATATAAATATATGCTCGATATAGACTCATGGTCTTTGGACAAATTTTCACCATTCAGAAAACTATACATCTAACTCTATGTTATTAGTAAATCATTCTTTAAAAACCATCTGTTCTTCTTCTTATCTCTGTGAAGAAATTTCGAAAGTGTCTATATTAACACCATGAACAACATATCCGACATCTTACCTTTAAAAAACAAACAAAATAAATTTATCAATGAATATTCATAACAGATTATCTTTGTACCTTTTCATCGTAAAGTATAGCTTAGAAGACTAGATGCCTTATTTGAATTTCTGGAAGATGTTGCCATTTTCTCTTGATGGAAGTATAGGAGATAATGGAGACCTTTTATACCTTCACTATCTCCTATACCTCCCTTAGTATCTATCGCCGAAATATCTATGGTGGTGCTGTAACTTCGCCACTACGACGGTGTCAACAACAGTTTCTTTTTTAGGGTGATTGTTAAATTGCATGAACTGGCACTTGATTTGATTCTTGACAATTTCAACAGTTAAAATCGTGGTGCATCTGATGGATTCAATCTATCTGTGATAGTCAAGCAACAGTTATGGAAGAGATTTTGAGAGTTATTCTCGACAACCATCGCGACAACGGCCGATTTCCAGCCTCGATATTTTAAGCAGAAATTGAATGAAAAAGACTTCCGCTAGAACTATATCTATGATTAGATTTCATTCATAATTACCTATCTATTCAATAGTTTCTTTTTAAGATCTATCTTTAGAATCTAGAGTATTCATTGATGAATTATTCTCCAAAACTATAATCGCGATTCATAGTTAAAGTATAATCAAATTTTTAGGTAGAAAAATGCTAAATTATAAATTATATTGAACAAGGAGCTTCAAAAATACAAAGTATAAACGTAACTATCGACATCTATCGTGTGTTTCTGACACATTATTATTATTAAATTTAAATTTTTATTAGAAACGAAAACTTTCTAAAAATTTAATTTTCATTTCAAATTGAGTACTTAGAAGAGTTTCATATTAATATTTTAATTGCTCAAAAATACACCAATTCCAAATAAAGTTTTCGTTTCACGTGAGATACAATGATTTAATTAAGTAAATCTTCTTAAAATATGAGATCACTTGATATATGTTGTCATTTTTTTTGCAACAACAAAAATGCCAAAATACATAATTCAAAGCTCTGATTCATTAATATTTCTCAACTACTGATAAATAATGTACATTCTTAAGATATTATTCTCGCAAATGATAAAATCATATCTTTCCATTTCAATCATCAACAAGACATTATATGCAATCGGTAGTTACCTCATTGTTGAATCGACGATGGTTTGTATAATACAATGATGTGTTTTACCCTCTGATACTTATAATAAAATCAATATATACTATCCGTCTTAAAATAATCCAATAAGTAAATTTAATATTAGATTAAATAATTATCAACTTCACATATTCTATCATCGATAAAACAAAAGATAGATATATAACTATGATTTAGTATCAAAAATCATGTCAAGAGAAAATGAATATTGTATTCTTTTCTTTATTACTTCCAACAAATCACAGCTTATTTTTTATGCAAAACTGTTTTATATATTGCCATTCAATATACAAACAATTAAATATATCTTTCAAGATTTATTATAAAAGTTAATGTTGATCTAAAAAAATTTCTAGATGATTTATGCTATCATCAACCCATCGAATAAAAGGATTGGACTACTCACGCCATAGAATCGTTGATTTTTTCCTTTCTTTCTTTCTTTCTTTCTTATGCATACAGCTGTTGACGCTATTAGTTTTTTTCTTATAATGTTGAAGACGAGTCACCTGTAATATGTTTTTTTTCTTTCTTAAAACAGCAGCAAAATTCTTTGATGACTAATCATAATAATAAAAAAAGACTTATAGTAAATGATCAGACTATCGGATTAGATTTTAAATAAAAAAATCCCTTGAGAAATGCTGCCAAATGTGTTGAGATAAAAATCTATATAGTATTAGTGCAAAGACGGCGATAGATTTGATTATTTGGTTTTTCTTGAAAATTCCTAGGGAGTTTTATTCACACTAGTCATTTATTTATTATTATATCAAATGTATACTTTTGTGAAATATAACGATTAATTCTACATTGAGAAACTTAGATTGTGCTAGATACTCCCCGATCTACTACCGTCTGAGAAAAAAACAACAAGTGGACTTTCAAATATCTGTTATTTTTTAATCATTGATTGAATATTTTCTTGAAATCTTCTTGTTTATTTGAATTTGTCAGAAATTTTAAATTAATCCCTGATGATTCTATTTTTTAGATTTTTGTTTTTGTTTTTTATGTTAAACAAACTACTATTATCTTTATTATAATGGATGGTATGTACAATTATGATTATCAGTTTCGATTAATTGTTGTTGGTGATTCAACTGTCGGAAAGGTTAATGAATATAATAAATAATAAAATAAAAAAACAATTATTTTTCTTTTCCAGTCATCATTATTACGTAGTTTTTGTGATGGAATTTTTTCTCAAGATCCAGTAAGCTTTATATTTTTATTAATATTAAAAATCTATTTATTGAAAATAGGATCCTACAGTTGGTGTGGATTTCAATGTACGTATCATTGAAGTTAAACCTGGTGTTACAGTAAAATTACAATTATGGGATACAGCTGGTCAAGAACGATTTAAGTAATATCTACAAAAAAACAAACACAATCGATATTGAAATGAGGTTTTTTTTGTTTTGTAGAAGTATTACACGTGCATATTATCGTAATTCAGTTGGTGTTCTTTTAATATATGATACAACAAATTATGTTAGTTTTACACATGTAACAAGTTGGTTAAATGAAGCTCGTACACAAATTCAACCATATCAATGTGTCTTTCTTCTTGTTGGTACTAAAATTGATCGAGAGTCTGAACGACAAGTCAGTTTATTGAATATATGAGATAGATCGACAGTTTTGAGACAAAAAAAAATATTTGTTTATTTTTGGCTCAGTGAAGGAACTTTTTAAAAGTCCAAAAAACTAGATTGAATGATCAACTAATAAAATTTTGCTAAGCCCTATAAGTTCTTCTTCCAAAATTATCGGAATCAAATGAACACTTCTTTATAAAATATTTTATATTGAATTAAGCTGTGATTTTTATTTAAGTGAAACTATAAGCACTCTGTCAAGAGTTCTTTTCTATAAAAGAAGTTCATTTTTCAAAAATGAAAACTTAAGAGAAACAAAAATTGAAGTAACTTGTTGAAAGATTCCTGTGGTACATTTTGTTGGTTAGTTTCGGATTTATCAGTTGATATATTAATAAAAGTTTCAACTTTTACTTTCGAGTTGCATGAGTGAAAGTACAACTGTAGGGAAAAAATTTTTCCGTTCAAATTAGTTTATAGATCTGTCAAAAAGATTTTCTCACTGGTCTGAAGAAAACTTCTGAGCCTACATTCATAAAAAATACAAAAAGCGAGTCATAATCCATAGCTTTTGAATCCTTGGAAACACTTTGAAGGTAGTCAAAAGTCATAGATAGAATCGATTTGATTCGGTTGCAAAGAAAACACGAATCGATCCCTTCTCGATGAAAAATAAACAAATATTTTATCTCAAAACTTTCGTTCCATTCATTATTTCTTTAGTAGCTTATTTTTTTAAACGATATTTCTATATTAGGTAACAACAGAAGAAGGAAAAGCATTTGCTGATTTTCATAATATATCATTTATTGAGACATCATCAAAATCTTCTTTATATGTTCAAGAAGCATTTGCACTAATTGCTCGAGAAATTTATGATATGTTAATTGAAGGACGTATACATGTTCAAAATGGGTAAGCTGTTTTTTCCTCCTATTAATTTATTTAATCTGAATATTCTTTCTTGAAGATGGGATGGTGTAAAAGCTGGTCCTAAAACTGCTAATACAAATCAGAATCAATCAATTGATGTAATGCAGAATATTCAACCACGACGAAGTGGGTGTTGTAGTAGTTAATGATCTTTCTTATTGTCTGTATTTCGTGTTTTTGCTTTGTATATTTATCCTTTCCTAAACAGTATCTGTGCAAGTCTGTATTGATTGTTTGTCTTTTCTTTTTTTTTTCTCTTGTTATATAACATATACACATATTTTTTTTTTCGGAAGAAGGATAATCCGATTTTTGGATTATGTAATTAAGTTGTTTGTATTTTGTTTCTTTTTCCTATAGAAAAACTTTCTATATTTATGTCAGGTTTTGTGGAATGCATATTTTGATGTTCTTTTGTTTTTCGAATCTGAGAACTCTTGTATTCATTTTCTTAAAATGTTTAAGAATAAAATGAAATCAAGCTAAATTGAGAATATTTCTTGTGCTCTTTTTCTTTCTTCAAACTTATATTTATAGCAACTGATGCCAAAATTCATATTGTAAATGAGATTATACATAAACTTTAAGCATGAAAAGAATTTAAAAAAGTTTAGTTCGAATAATATTCTACTCAATAGCACGAATACTTTTGTTAGATGTTAAACTTTTATTCCATCATTTTCTTATAATAAAAAATTAACATTTAAATACAACAATGAAGAGTATATTATATCTTGTTTCGACGACATTGAAAACATTTGTATAAATTATAACTTTTCGGTACGATTAGTACAACAAATTGACTGTTGACCTAAGCAATTTCTTGATAGTGCATTTTATTATGCTCTATATTTATGTTACACATCAACACTTCTCTGCATATTCGCCGAGATGTGACTTACTTCAATGTAAGCGTATCGTAAGAAATGAAATTAAACGAGAAAACTGATTATAGTTCATTGAAATTCCATGTAATAAAACTGCTTACTTATCCAGAACCGTCGTTTGAAATGAAAGTTGAGTTACATTCCGAAAGGTAACAACTTCAATGAAATAAAATGTACAGAATCTATGTTCGGAGTAAAAGTAGAGTGACTTTTCACAAGAAAATGGATTCAGTTGTATAAAAGGGTATTCATATTGACTCATTCTCTGTTGAAATTCGACATGAAAAATGGCCTTCGACGCAGTGAAGAAAAGTCGAAATTTAAAAAAAAAATCGCTTGCATTTCATCAATTATGATACAACTTACGCGTAGACGAAGACAGCAGGAAAATAATATCATTCTATGCGAAAAAGAAAAACTGTCCATCATACAGTATTTTACACGATACGCACACAAAGAGACATGGAAAAGAAAGATAAATGATTCGACAAAACAAAACTTCAAGCTCTACAAAATGGTCTATTCGGTGTCTTTTTGATACTTTTCTTTTCTTCGTGCATCCCTCTATAAATACAATTTTTTCACGATATGTGACGCTAAACAATCAGTAACGTATAAAAAAAAATTATTCAAATGGATCAACGGAAACACAATACTCTGAAGTTTATTAACCCGTGACAGCTATTTCAATAATCTGCAATACACAGAAAAAAAGTTGCTAAAAATAAAAAAATCTAATTACGTTGTTCTGATTTGAAAACCATGTTTTGGTAAGTATAAAAGAAGAGCTTTGAAATATTTCTAAGTTTTATAAAAACCTTATTGATACATTATTGCAATGAAACCATTGAAAAATCATGCAGATAATATTTGTTTTTTTTGTAAAGTCATACAGAAAAAACTTTAGCGATATTGTGATATAAATTTCAGTCGTCTCTTTTTTTTTTTACTTTAGTTTTTTATTTCATCACACAAAAACACATTTATATATATTTATATATATATATATTAATACTTGCATAGGAAAAGAACAAGTAAAAAACAAAACAATAAATAAGATATTCTTTTAGTTGTACAAGTATTAGTTGTTAAATATCCATACGGTTTCTTGTATTGTTCACAAGTATCTGAATATCTTAAACTATTTTCAACATTTATTGATGATAGACCAATATTTGTACAACTTGATTCAGATAATATCCAACTTGCTGTCATTGATTTTAATGGTTGAATCTACAAATAAAGAAATTAAATTTATATCGCCAAGAAAAACCAAACAGAATTTTTTTTCTACCAAACAAAAAGCTCTTGTTTGTTCATAAAGAATAATCGTACGTTGAAATCGATGATCTGTACGCCATGATGCTAGACAAATACCTTTAATTGATGTTATTACTTGTACATCAGATACAGTTTCATGACGACATGTTGAAGCAAATGTTAATTCACTTTTGTTTGATCTTTCACATCCAATTGATAATGTCCAAAGACCGGTTGAACATGTTGAAACAGGAATTGAGGGACGATAAGTATTCGATGATTTATAAACACCCATTTGTGGACAAGAAATATTCGATGACGTTGAAGGTTCTGTTTATATTTAAATTAAATTAAATTAAATATAAAAAAAAGAAAGTTCTTACTGAAAAGAGTATAATGTAAATGACTATCTTTACATTTTTGTTCATCAAAACCTAAAATAATGTGAAAATCAATTTTGTTTTTATAAAAAATAAATTTTACTAATGGAAAAATCAATAACTAATGGAGATCGATGGGTTAATTGAATACAATAAAAAATAGACGAACTAAAAGAAAAACAAACTATATAAAAATTTAATCGCAAGAAAAAAGAACTTTACCATTCTTCAAAAGATTTTGCTTTAATACGAATAGTTTTTTCATGTTGTCGACTATTATGAATAACTCGAGTTAATTTCAAATCATACATAATTGTTTGATCATTATTAGTTTTCATAAGCAATTGCGTATTATTAATATAAACTGTATTCATATTCATACTACTTGTTCCCATAGTTGACCATTTACCTTGTGTCCACGCTGGTAATTGAATCTTTGATTCATGATGACGATGATGTACACCTAACGAAAAATAAGCATACAATTATCTAAATTATACGAGCAAACATATTCAACTGTTAGACTCCGTTCGACCTCATATTTTGGCTATGAGCAAAACTCAATTAAAATGCAAACGAATATTTTTTTTTTGAGATATTGAGTATCCAATGAATGCTTATATATAACAAGATCAGTCATAGAATTGAGTTATTCTAAACACTCAACATCTTAAGAAAAATATATTCGTTTGAGTTGATATATCGAAAATATTCTAGTAGCTGTGAGATCTGTCTTTGGACTAGTTATCAAGTGAAAATCTCGTAATTGATTTTTCTGTCCAGGGTTGGATAACGCATGAATCCAAACTCATTTAGGATTTCCTTAGTTCGTTTAACATCTATCCATAATCAAAATATCAGATCGATTGGCGCTCGACAGTTGAATATATTCCCTCGTCAGAGTCGGAATAGTTTTTATCCGATGAAATTAACTTAGTAATTTCTTTATGGATTATTTACCCGGAAATACATTTAATGTAATAGTTGATTCTCTTGTAAATAAATCTCTACATGTATCATCCATAGATAAATAAACTTCATTGGGTAGAATATGTTGTTCATCACGTTTTGTTTTTGTATAAGACTAAATTTTAAAATATTTTAAAATTTGGCTTTTGTTTAGTACAAATAAAAACTTACAAAACAAATAAATCGTTGTCGATCAACACTTCGTGCAACAATATAATTTATATTTCCATCAGTAAAACGAGCAAAACATGTTGCTCTTACATCTATTTAAATGAAAACTCCTTAGAAAACAAAAAGACTTTCTTTTGCTAAAAATATGTTTCACTTTGATTAGTTTGACATCGATTATTATATGATAATTCGAATGTATTTGATGAAAAACAATAATGAAAAGCTTTTGGTTGACAAAATTTTGATATTTGATGATTTTTTTCAAAATACCATGATTGTTCTAATGGACATGGTATTGAATCTGCATTATCTATATACATAATAAAAATATGGCTTATTCTGTAATCTAATCGAATTATTTATACGCATGATAATTTTTCAAACAAGATACAATATTCTTTTTCGTCCGTAAAAATAAGTTCATTTTGACAAAGTGAGCTTGCGGCGCCGGGAGCTTTCCTAATTTCCTGTGTTTATCTAGGTCAGTGAACATTCATCTGTTCTATATATGTCATGTCGGTCAGTATTTTGTCTGTTAACCAGAGAGTGTATTATGACTGCCTATGGACGTTTTCTTTTTTTTTTATCCTATCACGCACACACAACCGGATTTTCTTTTCTATTAATTAATATTGATTCTGATGGACAGGTTACATTTTTATTTTTAGTTTTTTTTTATCTTCTTACCCCGGAAGAGTGTATATAAAACTGTATCAGGCGTGATTGATCCACAAATACGTGTATTGTCATCGTCCGCATCGAAGCATTCGCCTAGAAGAAATAGACAAGTCATCATTACCACAACGGAAGTTAAAAGAAGAAAATCTTGCATAAGACATATTGTCAAAATAGTCAGTTGTTGAACGGAAGTAAGCATGACTACGTGACTATCGTTTGTAGATGAACTATTGCGTGTATGTATATAGAACATCAATTGAAGAAAAAGAAAGAAAGCGAGAGATCTCATCACTGTACATTGATCATTGAGCGTTAATAATAACATTGATCGATTATAATTAAGAAATATTATGACATCTTTCTAAATACGTACTTTCTCGATATTGCAATGCATTTGAGTGTCTTGGAATAAATAGAATACATCGTTTACATCTTGTTTGTCTAAAAAATAAACAGACATAAATAAATCGAAAAAGAAAACAAAAAACAATTTTTGATTGTCTTTTCTCTCTTTTACTTGTGTTCTATTGACACACATTTTTGCCCTTTTACTAAGCTTAGTTTAAAACATTGTATTTGTTTTTACATACATGCCTGACCCGATTCCAAGTCAAACAATGAGTATATATATATGTGGGTGTATATATAAATATATGAGAGAGCAGACGATGAAATCGCGCAAGGTTATTAAATGGATGAACAGCTCAAGCAATTTTGATTTAAATCGTTTTATTCATCGTCTATAAATTGAACACATTCTATTACTATACTATGTCTGGATTGAATGAAGATGTGAGAATA